GTACATATGAACCCATACATACCACCTAGAAGGGTACATGTCATATCCATTGGTTTTTGATTCATGATTGATCGTTACAGAAAATCTTATATATGATCTGATTATGTCATAGACAAATAGAGCATACTGTTGTTATATTATGATCACTTGTAGTGTATTTTCTCTGGGATGCACTGCAACACAGTTATGTGCCATATGGACTATGGTATGTAGACGCTTGTGTCTATGTACATATTGTCAAGATGTGTGGTGGTTGCACTGAATTTAAATCTCTGCTTTTATGTTTGAATTGGTGAATGAAACTGTCAACATTAATTCTGCAGGTGAGAACCATCTTGGATATAGGATGTGGTTATGGTAGTTTCGGAGCACATCTCTTTTCCAGTCAGATCCTAACTATGTGCATTGCAAACTATGAGGCTTCAGGAAGCCAAGTTCAGATGACTCTTGAAAGGGGTCTTCCTGCAATGATTGGTTCTTTTATTTTGAAACAGTTGCCTTATCCATCTCTCTCTTTTGATATGTTGCACTGTGCACGATGTGGCATTGATTGGGACCAACAAGGTAATGCTCCTCCTCATTAACAAGTGTTTTCTTTTTGTGCCTGCATACACCAGACCTTTTAACCAACACTACTAACCTACTACTTCTAATTGTACTCCATGAAGTGCATATAGTTTAAATGTTCAGTCTGCATTATGTTCTTGTTTTCTGTAATAGAATTCTTTCTGTATTAAAGAGTTTTCAGAAATATAATTAGACAAAGTTTTTGGATTTGCAATTTTGTTGAGAAGTGGGATTGCTGAAAACATCACACTCAACCATTAATATACTAATAGGAGAAAAGTCTTCAGTAACAGAAACAAGTTGATGTGATGCGCAAACCTTTGCTTGTATAACCTCAGAATCTGGACTGTGAGTTTGAGCACCTTGGTATTCACTCTGAATTTCTTGATCTGGATGGGTCCATGTTTACCGTATATTAATCATATGTACAATTATGTTATGTGCTACAGATGGGATCCTCTTGATTGAGGTTGATAGAGTTTTGAAACCTGGTGGATACTTTGTCTGGACATCACCTATTACCAATGCCGAGACATTTCGTCGTAACAAAGTGAATCAGAAAAGGTGGAACCTTGTACGTGATTTTGCAGAAAATCTCTGCTGGGAGATGTTATCGCAGCAAGATGAAACAGTTGTATGGAAAAAGACTAGTAAAAGGAATTGTTATAGTTCACGGTAAGGAAACTAACATGGATTTTCTTTTGAATGTGGGATCATAAGTGTTTGGTCTTTTAGTGCACAAGAATAAGAGCCAAAACTGATATGTAGTACAATCTACTTATTTCTTCAGGAAACCAGGTTCAGGTCCCTCTATATGCAGCAAGGGTCATGATGTTGAATCTCCATATTATCGACCACTCAAAGCCTGTATTAGTGGAACTCAAAGCCGCAGATGGATACCTATTGAAGAGAGGAAAACCTGGCCTTCTAGGGCTAATCCGAACAAGAGTGAACTTGCCATATATGGTACTTGTTATGTTCTTGATATAGCCTATTTTGTAGAGAAAACAAAGACATTGCTCAGCCACTGACTAGTCTATTGTCTCCTAATTTGTTTTCGTGAAAATCATATAATTCATGTGTATTGAAATTTTCGTGCAGGATTACATCCCGAAGAACTTGCTGAGGATGCTGAGACATGGAAAATGGCAGTACGGAATTATTGGTCTCTTCTGTCACCATTGATATTCTCAGATCATCCAAAGAGACCTGGAGATGAAGATCCTTCACCGCCCTATAATATGCTTAGAAACGTACTAGACATGAATGCTCATTTTGGTGGTTTTAATTCTGCATTATTGGAAGCTGGAAAGTCCGCATGGGTCATGAATGTGGTCCCAACAAATGGACCCAATTATCTGCCCTTGATCCTAGACAGGGGATTTGTTGGTGTTCTGCATGATTGGTAAAGCTACTTTTTTTTTTTCTCACATTTTTTTCCTTACGACTTGGGAGCAGCCTCTCCATAAATGGAGGTAAGGCTAGCCGACATTCACCTCTCCCAGACCCTGCGTAAAGCGGGAGCCTTGTGCACTGGGTACGACCTTTTATTTTTTTCCTTACAATTACTCTTAAGCATCATGTTTAACTTGGAACCTCTTAACCAAATTTCACCTGCAAAAGACCACATCTCGGCTTAGAATTGCTTGGGATCTGAAGTCTTGTTGCAGTGAATTCTTTTTTTTTTTTTCTTCAAAAGAGCCCACCGGTTTACTTTCACATGGATAGGATATAACGTAGATTACTTATTTTTCTGTCTGGATGTTTAGTAGGCAACTTAGTGATCCTTCCCTTTTGTTAATTGTGGCGTAAAACCAAACCGGAATTTTCTTTCATAAAAAAGACTTCTAGCTCTTTGTATTATGCTGACTTTACACAGGTTTGATGGGTAAATTCTTGATGGGGGAAATAATTCAGCATTAAAATACTTTTGTTACTTCGGAGTTATCTGGAAAAAAAAAAAAAAGCAGTGCATACTGAGGGATGTCATCATGCTATTGGTTTGTGAGAGGACATTTGTAACTGTTGAATTATTGAGCCCAGTGGATTGAATTTGACATAAAAGTGGTATTATCATGGTTGAAAAGTTGATTTGCCTCCAGCATGTTTTACATCATGTTCTGGAGTCTGGAAGCTGGACTCATATCGTCATTTGTACTTGTTGTAAATGCTGCATCGTTGTTCCTTTGTAGGTTTTTGTTTTAACAAGAAATTTTATCTGTTTCTAGGTGTGAACCCTTTCCAACATACCCAAGAACTTATGATATGGTGCATGCAGCAGGACTTCTTTCCCTTGAAAGTGATCATCAGCGCAGATGTACCATTCTTGATCTATTCACAGAGATTGATCGATTACTTCGTCCAGAGGTACCCATATTAAATAATTCTCATCACATTTCATCTACTACGGTTATTTTACCAGTCCTTACAAAAATCTCATTGTGCTCTCCTCACATATGTATATTTCTTTCTAAAGATAGAAAGTTTGGAGTGCACGATGAGAATTTTGGATTGCCAATAACAATTCCCTATGGCTTTTTGCACTCGAGATTGAATTCATTGCTATTCAAAGTTTGTCAGTCATATTATTCATAGGTTTACAATTTAAACAAGATGTAAGTTTTGTGGGTGATTTGTTACATCCAAAAGAGAAACTGCATATATGGATCTGTGGAGCTATAATACTTCAGATTAACAAAGAAAGTTTTATTTGGTTTGGTGGTACCGATAATGGTGGTTGGTTTTATCTCTTACAGAAAAATAATGGCTGTTGGTTTTGTGTGTCTTCTAATCAAGCGTGGTTTATTTTCCGTACGGGTAGTTTGCCTTTAACCTAAAGAATGGAATAACTTTTAAGATTTTCTAGGACAGTCGCACATCAGTTCTTATAGATGTGTATATATCTGTTTACATGTCAGGATGCAACTGGCATAGACAATTTTGTCTTGTTTTGTACAGTTTCTTATACCGTCGAGGTTTATGGAAATTAACAACAAAGTTAACTCGAGTTCCACCAAAACACAATAGACCACTTACAGTTGCTATGTAGGATGGCTTTTTGTTTGCTTCGTTATGTTTGTATTTTGAACTCTTCTGATATTAGTGATTGTTTGCAGGGTTGGGTGATATTCCACGACAAAGCTGCTCTCATCGAATCAGCGAGAGCTCTCACGACAGGGCTGAAATGGGAGGCACGCGTGGTGGAAATCGAAAGCAACAGCGATGAAAAGCTCCTCATCTGCCAAAAGTCTTTCTTCAAGAAGCAAGCAAACTAATAAAGCAGTTTCCAAAGGGGAGCCTGAGATACACGGTGGTAATATCACTCGATTCATATTCATTTACTTATTTTACTCAATCATCATAAAGCTCTGCCATTGAAAGGAGAGGGAACCAAAATTTTTTGGACAGACGAAACCAAAGAAACAACACGACGCCTATGGAGCCGGCCGTAAGGCCGCCATAGGACATAGGGCAATGTAATTATTTATGGTATTGAGGTCCGGAAGCAAAGTGAGAGAGAGGAGTGTAGATTATATTTTTAATCTTCCATGTAATTTCTCGTTGTTACTGTACAGAACCACATGATTAAGATTGTGAAGATCATTACAGCATAAACAAATGCAGTCAGTTTGTTATAGTGTATAAAACATGCTTGTCAATGCATTAATGTCAAGCACCCTCAACCTCAATAGTAGATTTAATTACATTTCAAAGCTTACAAATCACGAATATGGCTACAATATTTACATGTGTTTGATATCTATATATGTCAAGCACCCTCAAACTTTGAGATCTATATATTTCTCAATCAAGTGTCAAAACTTATAAGACCCCATATTATTTATTTTACTATAATTTCTCCGAAGATCATGACCGCCTTCCTAAAATAAATCTCGTCCTTATTTTACAATATTTACATGTGTTTGATATAATCACATTTTGTGTTTTATCTCTGAGGAGTGGCAAATGGCATTAGTTCTTCATTTAGTGGCGTCTTTCTTTTCTGATAGTGGATCTCAAATTCAAATATCTGATCGAAAAACTTTGAGATCTATGTATTTCTCAATCAAGTGTCAAAACTTATAAGACCCCATATTATTTATTTTACTATAATTTCTCCGAAGATCATGACCGCCTTCCTAAAATAAATCTCGTCCTTATTTTCCATTGAAAACTTGGTAAAGTACAATGCAATTTGATTTTGGGAGTTCCATCGATACAATCTAATTTGCTTAAAATTATAGAGAGATTTCAAATTTGGAGTTAAGTACCTATTGGCCTCGTTTGGTGATGAATTGAATCAAATAACTCATTAGATTCAAAATACGTTGACTATGGATTATGGAGAAATCGATATTGAAGTTTCTTAAGTTTATTTAAATTCTAAATTTTAGGGAAGATTTAGGAAAACCAATGGAGTTGCTAAATTCTAATTTGCATTTAGCCCACAAGATTTCAGTCTCGGATTCTCAGTTGAGCTGGTAAAGCATCCATGGCGTTTTGGCGCCTCCTCATTTCCAAAACCCAAAACCCAAAACCCAAAACCCTCACCTCCCCTCCCAAACGCTAACCACTCGCCGCCCTCCCTCCTCCCTCTCCTCCTCCTCCGCCAAACCTCACTGTTCTCCACCTCCTTTCTTATCACCAAAACCCCAAAAAAATTCAGAAAAAAGCGCAAGAAGGACGAAAGCCCCCGAACCAAGCTCGTCCAGACTCAACCCAACCTCATCCCCCACTTCGAACACATTGTCGAGCGCGACGCTTACTTCCGATTCCTCACCAAATCGAAAGACTTCCTCTCCAAGCAGCCCCACCGCGTCCTCCGCCTCGATGACGCCGGCAAGCTCTACCGCGAACTCGGCTTCCCTCGCGGCCGAAAAGTCGCCCGATCCCTCCAGCGCCACCCCCTCATCTTCCAAACCTACCGCCACGACGACAACAAAATGTGGATCGGATTCACCGACCTCATGGAAGCTCTGCTCGAAGAGGAGCGATTCATAATGGACTCATGGAATCGGACCGAGTCAATAAGGTTCGTAAATTGCTCATGATGTCCACCAACAAGCGTATCCCTTTGAGTAAAATCTACCATTGCAGGTCGATTTTTGGAATTCCTGAAGATTTTAGGGACAGGGTTTCGAAATACCCTAATTTTTTCAGGATTGTGGTTGAGGAGGATGGGAAGAGAGTGCTTGAATTGGTGAATTGGGATCCGTTGATGGCGGTGAGCGCGTTGGAGAGGGAGTTTATGGTGGATGAGGAGAGAGTGAAGAGGGCTTTTCGGTTTCCAGTGAAGCATGGGAAGGATTTGGGCCTGGAGATAGAGGATGAGAGGAAATTGAACATGTTGAATTCTCCTCCGTTGGTTTCGCCTTATTCGGATGGATCAAGATTGGACCTTTGGAGTCTGGAAGCGGAGAAGTACCGGGTGGGAGTGTTGCATGAGTTTTTGAGCTTGACATTGGAGAAGAGGGCTTCCATACACCATGTTGTGGAGTTCAAGGAGGAGTTTAGCTTGACCAAGCATACTTATCAGATGCTGTTGAAGCAGCCCAGAACTTTTTATCTGGCCGGGACGCAGATGAACTGGGTTGTTTTCTTGAAAGATGCTTATGACCGAGACGGGGTTTTGATTGAGAAAGATCCGCAGGTGGTTTTCAATGAGAAGTTGTACAAGTATGCTGATATGAAGGAAAGGGATAGGGATTTATTGATCAATGGAGGTGATGAGAGGGTTTTAGGCAAATTTGAGTGAGTTCATTCTTTGCTTGAGCTTCAAGGAAAATTGGGTAAAGGCCCAAACTTTATGTTGTATAATGTACTGGGGGAGTAGCATTCTTGAGGAACCCTGGGGCTACAACAAAATCGGCAATTCAGATGCATCATAGTGATCTTGGCTGGTCCTTGACAGGACTGTGTCTTGTGTTTCTAGGTTTTTGAAGTCATAAGAGAAATCATGTGATATGAAACTTGGGGCACTGTGTGGATTTTTGGATATATATATCATCAATGATAATCCATATACTGGCATTTTGAGATGAAGGTGTGTGAAAATTACGCCTCTTAGCTTTGAGTTGCAGCAGGAGTCTTCATTTCTTGTTGATCAACTGGACCTAGAGTTAAAGTGATCATTGATCATACGAAAAGCTCAACAGGGAATTATGTGAACTGGGGCAGTCGGGTAATACCGAACAAGGATTTACTTCAATAGCCGTCAAGTTCTACCGTAATTGCTTTGCCACTAGATTTCGGGTACTATATGATTGGTGAAAATGAGCTTCATAGAGAGGTGTAGCATTGATTGGCAGTTGGAATCTCTTAGCCAAGTGAAGCCAAAGATGTACAATAGTCATGTCAACAGGTTTTTGTATCCCTTCAGACCTTGAAGAGACACTGAAAACAACAGAGCCAACAGGGCTTTGTCATGGATGCTAGTCTCAGGTAATTGGGGTATTGTTGTGTTTATGAATTATCCGAGAATCTCCAATGATATGTCAAATTATTAAGTGGAATAGTGCATCCGGCGTGTTGTGTGACCGCCGTATGCCACTGAAGCTCAAGGGAAAATTTTATAGGACGGCAATAAGGCCGGCGATGCTGTATGTCACAGAATGTTGGGCGGTGAAGCATCAACACGTACACAAAATGGGTGTAGCGGAGATGAGGATGCTTCGTTGGATGTGTGGGCACACGAGAAAGGATAAGATTAGGAATGAGGATATCCGGGGTAAAGTAGGAGTAGCCGAAATTGAAGGAAAGATGAGAGAAAATCGGTTACGGTGGTTTGGACATGTGCAAAGAAGGCCTACTGACGCTCCGATTAGAAGATGCGACTATGGGACAGAGGTTCAGGGCCGAAGGGGCAGAGGAAGACCTAGGAAAACTTTGGAAGAGACCCTAAGAAAAGACTTAGAGTACTTGGATCTAACGGAGGACATGACACAGGACAGAACACAATGGCGTTCTAAGATTCATATAGCCGATCCCACTCAGTGACTTGGATTTTCCAAGTCTCCAACCAAGAAGTTTTCCTCACTCGGGAAATTAAGGGAACACTACCTCAACCTATATGCTCCACTCACAAACCTTCAACATACAAGCTTCAACAAAAGAAAATTCAAAGAACTTAGCGAAGAAGGCTTTGGTGTATTTAACACAATACGTTGAAATGAAGGAAAGCTTATTTATTGATATCCCCGATAAGTTACAAATATGTACATATACTTGAGTCAAAATAAACAAACAAGAGGGAGCCTTCACAAAGGTTGCTTAGGAGAAGTCTCAGCAGGCGGTAGAGCCCCAAAAAGAGAAGGCACCGGAGGAGGATCATTCGGAGCCTCAGTACTGGACAAAACCCTAGAAGGAGGAGGCATCAGAGGTTGATCATTTGGAGCTTCATTACGCGGTACAGCCCCAGAAGACGAAGGCAATAAATGCCTTTGGAACAAACCCACAAATCTCTGATGATCAAGTAAAACCTGACCATCAGATTCCTTCATCTGGTCAAGCTTCCTCTTCATGTTTGTAGCATAGTCATGTGCGAGCCGGTGCAACTGTTTATTCTCATGCTTGAGCCCTCTAATCTCCTGTTTGAGACTCATCACTTCAGCCGCCAATGATTCAACTTGGCGGGTTCGAGCAAATAGGCGTTGGGCCATATTAGACACAGAACCTGCATACTGAACACTGAAAGCCAGAGAATCCTTAACAGCCAACTCATCAGACCGTTTGGAAAGTAGTCTGTTATCTTTGGGAGTGAGAAGGTTCCTGGCCACTACCGCAGCGGTTATATCATTCTTCATCACGGAATCCCCAACGGTAAGAGGACCAGTAGGGGAGACGAAGGATGGGCGCCATATGTTGTCTGGAGAAGGCGGGGCTGCCTCTTCAACAAGGTTCAAGTCAAAACGACGGTCGGAGGGGCCAGACATTTTCAAAGGTGTTGAAGAGAGAAGAGGTCGGACAAATCAAGATCTTAGAAGTGCAAGAATGGAGCTTCTACTGGTGGATATTCAAGTGTGCTTTGGAACTTAATGTCAGCCCCTATAAAAATCTGCACTCGACGAAGCTTCAGAAATCGAAGAGGCGTTTGCTTTCTCAAAAGCTGGGCTGCTCAGAGACCACGAGGGTCGATCTCAGAAATCGAAGAGGTTTGCTTTCTCAAAAGCTGGGATGCTCAGAGACCACGAGGGCCGATCTCAGAAATCGAAGAGGCACCTACTTTTCCAGCCTTGTCAGCATCTGTCACACGCACACTCAGCTTTGCGGAAACTATGGGCATTCTGTCGAAAATTTCTGACGAAGTAGAAAGCACATGAATCGTACTGTTCAATCACCCACTTCCCACACGCAACAGTAGCTCATGGGTACCACAGATAACTTTGCCAAAGTTCTCTGACAAAGTTAAGACACGTGAAGCTTGCAGCTCCCACTACATCGCTCTGACCAAGAAGGGTAAAAGAATTGCAAAGAAACAACACTAACAAAGTTTAAACACATAAATTTTGAAGGTCTAGCTACCATATTATTACCCACAAGGGTAAAGGAACAGTACCACTGCTGGATAATTGGAAAGTCCCGGTGTGTCAACCTCTGTGCTTCGTGGCAAGGTAGACTAGCAAACATGCCCAACCTGTACTCACATTCGAGAAAACACTCCCAACAAGATTGCTTGCTCCAAAATCGAAGAGGCACCGCCCTCCGAATCTCGAGAGCCAGACTCCCAACATGATTACTTTCTCAAAAATCGAAGAGAGGGTAAAGGAACAGTACCACTGCTGGATAATTGGAAAGTCCCTGTGTGTCAACCTTTGTGTTTCGTGGCAAGGTAGACTAGCAAACATGCCCAACCTTTACTCACATTCGAGAAAACACTCTCAACAAGATTGCTTGCTCCAAAATCGAAGAGGCACCGGCTTCCGAATCTCGAGAGCCAGACTCCCAATATGATTACTTTCTCAAAAATCGAAGAGAGGGTAAAGGAACAGTACCACTGCTGGATAATTGGAAAGTCCCTGTGTGTCAACCTCTGTGCTTCGTGGCAAGGTAGACTAGCAAACACGTCCAACCTTTACTCACATTCGAGAAAACACTCCCAACAAGATTGCTTGCTCCAAAATCGAAAAGGCACCGCCCTTCGAATCTCGAGAGCCAGACTCCCAACATGATTACTTTCTCAAAAATCGAAGAGACACCGCTCTCCGAATCTCGAGAGCCAGACCCCCAGCAGGATTGCTTTCTCAAAAATCGAAGAGGCATCGTTCTCCGAATCTCGAGAGCCAGATCCCCGACAGGATTGCTTGTTCGAAAATCGAAGAGGCACCACTTTCCCAACTTCAAGAGCTGGATCTCCTTGGATAAAGCTTGTCTGTAATCTTCACACGCAACATCAGCTTTCCAGATACCACAGACCACTTTTTCAAAGTGCTCTGACAGGGTTAAAACATGTGAAGCTGACAGCTCCCACTATCGTGCTATAACCAAGCAGGGTAAATGAATAGCATTATTACTTGATGTTAGGGAGACTCCTATATATGTCGACCTCCATCCCTAACGGACAGGCAGACCTGCAAAAATGCTCAACCCTTTCTCTTATCTGAGAGGGCACTCCCAACGAAGCCTTTCGAAATATTCAGCTTTCTTTCCCCCCGATAATACCTCTGTAAACAAGCTATACTAGAGCAAGAATATCTCATATCATCAGGGTTAAAAGCAAGAATATCCCATATCATGCTTTTTCCCTGTCTTTTCCTTTGGCCTTGTTCTTACCTGCAAGACAAGGAGAAAGAGAGCAATCAGTCAGCACTTGGAATCAAGCTTCCAGCCAGGAACCCCTTACCTGATTACTTACCTGGCATTGCTCTCGAGTACTCATCTTCAAAATCTTATGCTTCCAGGGAAGATACCGCATCTGCCTGAGGAACAAATAGGGCAAGTGAGAAGGATACAAGGAAGCATGTGGAGACAAGCGTAACAGCACACGTGCCGATACATCCACTACTCTGTCAAAAGAAAAAGTATCCCATATCAGCAGGGTCGAACGTACTCTAGATTTGATGGACTTGTTTTAACCCTCAAATTCTTCAGTCGGCCTTATACTCTGGAGGAAACCAGAAAACCCTCCAGCCCAGTTCAAGAATAAGCCTGTGGAAAGTTACTTCTTCAAAAGCAAAAGTATCCCCATATCATCTCTCCTCATTTTTTCTTCTCTTTATCCTTCATGCTGCCTGCAAGATAGGGAGAATGTGAACAATCAGCCGGAGCTCTGATTGCTTACCTTGTCTGTCACCTCTTTCAGCAGATCCCCTAGCTCGGCGACTTGGGGGACTCCTACTACATGGTTTGTATCGCGCTTGACCAAACATGAAACTACAAGTAAGCTTCAAGTGAAATTGATACATTACCTTGTGCATCTCTACCAGTTACAGATACCACCCCTGGATGGAGGAAGAGTACTTCCAGAGAAGATGCCACATCTACCTATGAGACAGAGAAGGCAAGTCAAGACGATACCACACTCCGGTACTTAGAAGTTTCGTGGCTACGAGATCATTCTCCCACAATATTTCCTAATGTCATTTGTACTAAATCATTCACTTGTACTCATTAAAGGAGAGCTTGAACCTATGTACTTGTGTAAACCCTTCACAATTAATGAGAACTCCTTTATTCCGTGGACGTAGCCAATCTGGGTGAACCACGTACATCTTGTGTTTGCTTTTGTGTAAACCCTTCACAATTAATGAGAACTCCTCTATTCCGTGGACGTAGCCAATCTGGGTGAACAACATACATCTTGTGTTTGCTTTCCTATCTCTATCCATTTATATACTTATCCACACTAATGACCGGAGCAATCTAGCGAAGATCACAAAAAGTGACCGTTTTCGCTACCTAGGATCTATCTTGCAAGAGAACGGAGAATTAGATGGAGATCTCAACCATAGAATACAAGCTGGATGGATGAAGTGTAAGAGTGCATCCGGCGTGTTGTGTGACCGTCGTAGGCCACTGAAGTTCAAGGGAAAATTTTATAGAACGGCAATAAGGCCAACGATGTTGTATGACACAGAATGTTGGGCAGTGAAGCATCAACGTACACAAAATGGGTGTAGCGGAGATGAGGATGCTTCGTGGGATGTATGGGCACACGAGAAAGGATAAGATTGGGAATGAGGTTATCCGAGGTAAAGTAGGAGTAGCCAAAATTGAAGGAAATATGAGAGAAAATCGGTTCCGGTGGTTTGGACATGTGCAAAGAAGGCCTACTGACGCTCCGGTTCGAAAATGTGACTACGGGACAGAGGTTCAGGGCCGAAGGGGTAGAGGAAGACCTAGGAAAACTTTGGAAGAGACCCTAAGAAAAGACTTGAGTACTTGGATCTAACGGAGGACATGACACAAAACTGAGCGCAATGGCGTTCTAGGATTCATATATGCCGACCCCACTTAGTGGGAAAAGGCTTTGTTGTTGTTGTTGTTGTTTGAGTAGTCAAATCCTACATAAAGATTTGATACATCATAAGATAAGATTTGTTTCTGTTTGCAAGCATTATGATCACGATGTTTTCCTGCAATTCTTTCCACATCAAATTGTGATCCAATTATTTATCTTTGGTGGGACATAAATAATGCTGGCCTAAATGATCATCTCCCAACTGTTAGTCTGAGCTGTCTCTCAATAATGTGCCAAGCTCTGTGAATGTTCTTCAACTGTTACCTATATCTTACGGCCTCGTTTGATTGCTTGGAATGCTAGAGTGGGAATAAGAATTCAGTTCATTTCCAGGACTATCCTAGAACGGAATGGTTATAAAAATTCCATTTCGGTGTTTGGAACAACCGATGGATAAGAGATTAGGAATTTGACACCTTTCCAATAACAAACCCCTGCTCTGTTTCTCTCTCTTATTTCTTATTCTTTTGAAAACTGAGGACTACTTAAATTGCTCACAAACAGTATGTGGAATAACACCCCGCTTGGGATTTTTCCAACTTGCTTGCATCATTTAAATCCGAGGATTTTTCCAACTTGCTTGCATCATTTAAATCCGAAAACTCTTTCTAGAGCTGCTTGGTACATTGTCGATATTATTTGTTATCAACAGAAGATGAACAAACTATCGAAAACAACCAGCCTACCAGGTACTAGAGATTGGCATCCAGCACCGGATATTCATTTTCCAAATTCTTTAGCTGTTTTGGATGTATCATGTAGTAGGTTCAGGTAGCTGCATCTGTGTTGGTTTCAAATATAGCCTATGAATATCTGATCGCATGCTAAAAGAGATTCGGAAATTGGGACAAAAAGCAGCCTGAATATATTAACGATGGAAAACTGAAACATGAAAACCACCAGATCCTTTGTAGCCCTAGCAGCTTTTGAAGAAACACCAAAAATATCAGGCAAGGGAAACACACCTAGAAATTTTATGTCAAAATATTTGCTAGTCCCCTAACTTTGGAAATTCTAATGCGATGAAGAGGGGAGTTCAGATGACACTCTGACCATGCTCTTCGTCTTGCTTAGGTTTTGCTGTACAACACTTGCCCCGGTGTTGTGCCCGTGGGTAGGAAATGATGAGCTTTTCTTCGATGGCAAGGCATGAGTATTTTTAAACGATGCGCTTCTCTGGCTAAGCTTCTTGCTGGATTTTCTTCTAGGGTTCCATCCTTTGTTCCCAAGTGCTGCTTTGGCAACACTGTCTGTGACTACCCCCCTTGCCCTCTGTGGCTTGATGGACTGCTTGTTCAGGTACACTAGCTTTGGGAGGAGACTGCAAACTGTCTTGCGTAGTTGCTCATCGCCGATGTTGTTCTGGATTGGATTCCCCAATAGATTCATAGCCTGCAGTGAGTTGTAGTTAGCCACCAGCTGGCCCAGCGCCTTTGTTGTTGTGATCTTGTTGAAGCTCAAGTCCAGAACTGTTAGCTTCAGTAGCCTATGCAGGCCCTCAACATCACTGATCTTGTTCCCGGTAAGATATAACTCCTTCAATACACTACAGCTTGATAACCCTGGCATCATGAAAATCCACCGAGTCAGTGACCGGAATGATACATTTTACTAGGGAAAGTTTGTATTCTGATGTCAACTAGAGGGTTGAAAATCAGAAGGATTTAAGCTTACCACGTCCAATTCTAGAAATTCGGTTGTAACTGAGATCAAGTACTCGCAATCGGGTTAAGTCTCTTAGTCCTTCAGTGGTGCTGAGCCTGTTTTTGGACAAGTCGAGTGTGTGAAGACTCTTCGGCAGCAACCCTGGAGTAATGTTGGCTGCAAAAGTAGAAGGACAAGTAGCCAGGCAACTTGGTTAGCTATAAGAACCAGTATGTTTTAAGTATTAACTCTTACAGTTTATTTCTTTTCTACCAAAGTATACCTATGAAGTTGTTCGACAAGTTGACAGACCGAAGGCTGCAGAAGCATGAAATGTTGGGGATAGCTTTCATGCCCATACCAGATATGTGAGCCACTGTTGAGGAAGAATTTAGAGACTGGATCACAGTATTAGCATGTAAGGTATCCTCTTCAAGACCTCGGCTAAAGTAAGTGGCGCTTTTCGATCTAGCGGTCTCAGGAGTCATGGGAGACTTTGGAGTCTTAGGAGTGGGTGGTGTTTGTGGGGAGACAATTCCCTCGTGGTCATCTTCATTATTTTCAATGGAGGTTTGTATTCTGAGATCTTTCACCCACTCTTGCACCCTTGAAGATGATGAGGGTTCTGTCGAGAAGGCAACCCACTGGTTCTGAGGCCATAAGTCCAATGCACCAATGTGAAAACCACCCCAGCTCTTGTTGTCATCTACAATGTTCTTCCCCTTGTCCAAGGATTGTCCACCATATGATAGTGGTGATTCTGTCTTGCCAAACTGCATAGCTCGATTTGGTTCGAGTGTATCTGAAGAGTACCCTCCTTGCTTGTTCACAGAAATGGGACTAAGTGTCTTTGGTTTGGCATCCCGTGTTCTGTGCAGATTCCTGTGGCTCCAAAGGAACAGCTTCCACCACAATTTTCGACTTCGCGAAGGCAGAACTTGGCTTGAAGAATGCTTCTTCAGCATCACTCTATCAGCACTGTAGTGGCTTAACACAGAACCAGGGCTGCCTGGATCGACATCCTTCCTCACACTATCAGCCATTTCCTGCAGTTCTTCGAAAGACGGAGACTTCAAAGCAGGCATCTTGGAGGACATCTCTTTAACCACTTGCTTATGAGTCTCCAAATTAGAGCATGATCTGGTAAGCTTTGGTGATGCCCAAAACTCCGCCTTACCAACCCCGGGATCGCTAAGATGCCCACTTTGAACCCTATCAACACTTCGAGTGCTCGAATCAGGTTCGGATAAGTCCAACTTTCTTGATGGAGTCACTTCACCTGAATTGGCTTCATCTAGTTGCAGATCAGAGTGATCATTAAAAGAGTTTCCCCTGGCTATGGGGCTCTCTTCGTGCTCGTATTCCCCTTCATAAGCCGCTGCTTCTACTGCTTCAACACACCCGATAGGACTTTTCGGGCTCCTTGTATTGCCACTAGAAGGTGAAGAGTACTTCTTCTCAACACCATAAGGTATTAGGACTCCTAAAGTTTCCGGCTTCGATTTCCCATCCCTCTCCAACGATTTCACAGGCTGCTGTTGAAGCCTGACGTGCAGGGTTTCAATTGCCTTGCGCAGTTCACCACTTCTTGTAGATTCATCTCCCTAAAATCGAAAACAAAAGTGACCGAAAAATCAGCAGATCATCACAATTCACAAATCGAACACGACATTATGAGAAAGAAACCAAAAAGATTTTCTCACCTTAACCTTCTTCTTCCCCCTAACAATTGCAGAAAAGCAACTCAATTTTGCCATTTTCGATATGAAAAACTCCGAATCCTCAAAGATGGACCGAAACCCGAATTTCAGTATGTGGATTTTCCTGCTGTTATCTTCACAACTGAGCTCACATTCCAATTCCAAAGGTCTGATTGAATGCTGCAGCTGTACATAGAGTGATGGTTGGATCAAGGGTTAACCATAATCAACCGGAAGCCACCACACCTGCAATCGAGGCCACCTGAAACAGGGCTGAGGGCCAGAGAAGTGAGCACCAACGCCTGCCCCAGCTCCAGAAAACTTGTCTGATTCGTCGGCCAGAGTTGTATCTGCTGCAGCTTCTCTGTGGAAGCTTTGAGATTATATTGTCCTCCTCTGTCACACAAAACAACAAAAGACGAATCGAACACATTAGACAACTCCAAAATAATTTCGACACCAACCCACTTCAGAAACAATCCCAAATCCCCAGAACACCACCAAAGATATGGACTTTATTGCAGAAAGCAACCACCACGACGTGCAGTTCGATAAGTTTCTGTACGGACACAATTATTCTTAGCAAAAAATATACATCGTGGCTTTTGAGAGTTGTAAGTTTTTTGTTTACCTGCCAGATAGATTGATTTGCTTTGTTTCCCCAACACCAGAGCAAAACTTTTATGCTTTTTCAAGGCTTGTCCTCGTTTGTGATCATCAACATCACATGTGAGAGAGAGAGAGAGAGGGTGCGTGGAGGAGCGCATTCACCCTCCACACCCGCACTCAAGAGTTCGACTCTCGTCCTCTTTCGCCGGAGCCTTCAAAGCCTCAACCCCTTGTTTGGTCCTTTCAACTGGAAAAAAGAAGGATTTAGCTTTTAAGGAGTCCAAAGAATGAGGTGGTGGTTGTGGTTTTCAGGTTGTCAACTAGTTAAAGCCACAAGATGGAAGGGAAAATACTAGAAATAGGGAGAGGGAGGAGGAGGATTGTAGAAGAGGACATACGTACGCGCATGTAACACGGTACTATCTGTAACATCATGTAACCCTCCCAATATAATATAGGACCAAGAATAACATTTGTTAATGAAAATAAAAGGCTTTTTATATTAGCACCTTACAAAATGTTGAATGCACCCCACATTAAAATTTAATATTAAATGACTTATTTATCCTACTATGCAATCACAATTTTGACCTTATTAGGTTAAAAATAAATAAAAAATTATACATACACTCCAAATCACTTTTAACACATTATTTATCTTCTTCAACTATCAAACCCCCTCCGACTCTCCATTGTTGAACAAAACTCCAACCAATGAAACTACAAACATGTTGATTGAGAAAATTTATTTTTGACGAATGAAACACGAAATTGATGTTTAAGAACCTTCACATAAGGTAAGACTTCATATTATTTATTGTTTTAGTGATTTTGACGACATCGATAATTATTTAATTTTTCTTTGAATGCGATATTCAAGCTTCTATGTTCGTATTCATCTTTTAGGGATCACAGGGATTACATGAAGAATTAAACACCTAAAATTACTGCCAAATATTAAAAATAGACGACATGGGTTTTAATGGTGGAATTGAAAACAACCCACATATGTTTTAAATCCTAGACGGCATCTTTTGTCAAAATTTTAGTCGGCATTATTTGTCCAAATTAAAAGCTTTATAAGATTTGAGAAATGTGGGGTGTATAGAAAATATGGGGTACATATAAAAAATGTAAGGTGTATATTAAGAATGTGGGGTGTGAGGGTATTATGGGGAAGTAAGTGGGATGTATTAAGATAATTTTTAATTAAAAAAAACAAATGTGGGGTGTATTAAGTATGTGAGATTTATTCAACAATTTGTGGAGTGTTAATATAATAAGCCAAATAAAATATCAAATTAGCGGGTTTTCTTACAATGTATTGGTGTTTTAACAACTAGATTGAGATTGTCAAAATTTAATAGTGCAAATCCAATCGTCCAATGCAGAGGTGCATCCTATACATCGGTTCATTGTAAATTTTTTTCATCCCTCCTGAACTATGGTGTAGCCTTAACAACCCGTCTTCTCCTTATGTAATTGTGTAGTGGTGCTTAAAAGTACGGGTGGGCGTGGGTTGGTTTTGGGTCAAAACCAAAACCAAACAAATCTCGTCGGTTGGGCTAAAATTGCAAAGCGAAACCGACTAAACTGGGTCTAAAACCGATCAAGTCGGTTAATCGACAATGGCATATTGGTTTAGATTGATTCTTAATTTGTGTGAAGACGAAAATATATAACAAATTTCTTTCCCAAAAGCTATAGAACGTAGCATCAATATTAATGATTGCTCAAACGAAAGCACAAATGAAGCAGCCAAAAGAGAGCACCAAAGTAGCAGCTGCTGCCTTCTCCAAATGGTTCCCCTATTCTTCTCCAAAGGAACTATTAAACTAATCAGGTTTTATTTTTTAAAGGGATACGGTTGCACACGAATTAATGAGGGCGAGCAAAACCTACACTAGAGAAATCGAAATAACATCTACCAAGAGCTGCCTACACTAAAGAAATCGAAAGCCTTGGAAAATAGTATAAAAAGGATTGTTGATGTGTGAACAACAAGCGTAATGTCAATTGAGGGCAGAGAACCATACTCATAAGTCTTAACCACTTAAATTATAAACCTCTTATTTTGTGAGGAATATTACCTCGTATCTAAAAATAACATCTATCGAGTAGGCATCTCGTGAAATCGAAAGCCTTGCAAAATAATAACATCAATTGATGGTAGAGAACAGTACTCTAAGTCATAACCACTTAAATTATAAACCTGTTATTTTTATAGAATGTCAAAGCTATTGTATTTTATCCGAGTTTCTTCACACAAAATGACTAATCATAATATTCTTTTTCTAAATCTATCCATACGAATTATGCCAGGTACTCACTCTTCAGCTCCCAATTTTGTATGGATATTGTTGATTGCATTTTAACATTGCAACTACTTTATAGCGACAGCTGATTGATATTAATCCTGACCTGTTTCGTTGAAATTAGTCGAGGAGGTCTTATCTATGAGAAGGACATCATATTTAGGAATGTCCTTCGTTGTCGAGATAAAATTTTCCGCATTTAAAATGAGTGTGGCGTTTTTATGACTCTAATTATTGTTTGATATATATTAAGTTTATGACGATAAAATTAATAAAAATTAAATTTATAATCACGTGTTAGTCAATGATTTGAACCCCTATGTTTCACTCAGATCAGTCGCTCTTAGAGGTGTTCCACCTTGATTGCCCTTCTTATTTGCTCCACTCAAGATTAAATTGTGTTACAGTCAACCGTTCACGCATTTTTGGCATATTAATGCGGGTAAACTCCACTTCACATGCATGAAAGGTTAGAGATTGCTCATGAGGGCGGCGGATTAACCATAGCAGTTTTCATTTTTTTAGTTTTGTGATATTTTTTATCTTTTCAATGTCAAAAGAGATTCCAAACTCAATCGTCATTATAAAAATATAATAATATAAAATTGAATAATCGCCCAGTGAGATCCTATCTATGGGTCAATTGTCAATAGAGATGGCAACGGTTCGGTTTGGGGACGGAAATGCTATATCCATCCCCATAACCACAAAACTTAACCATATCCATAACCAAAAATTAACCATCGGGGATTATCCATAACCATATCCACTGGTAATGGATTTTCAATCGGTTATTGGTTATAAAATGATTCAATGAATTAATTTGGTTGAACATAATAATAAGAGTATTGAATTGATGAGGTTGTTGGTATGCCCCATGCATGGTGCATAATAAAGATAGCATAGGGTTTGATGCATGCATAATGAATTAGTATAGGTAGGGTTCGGTAAATTGAATAAAATTATATTATATATCAAATATATATTCAGGTCGGATACGGATTGGGGACCCCTATAACCATATCCAAAACCATAACCGAATAAAGTTCACGGTTTTTCCCCATATCCATACCATACCCGAATTTTCATATCCAAATCCAATCCATTCGGGCTGTTATCCACAGTTATCAGGTTTAACGGTTAGAATTGCCATCCCTAATTGTCAACATATCATTGTTCCTAGCCCTTCAAAAGTAACCATCTGAATTAATAATCCTCAACTATATTTCCTATGCCTATCCATGACATTGGATAATCAAGTACATTGTTTTTTCTTCTTTACAAAAGGGGATAAGTTGTTAGCCGCTACGACAGTCCATCATTCTGGAGGCTGTAAAGACTCATAGAGGCATTTCAGCCCTCCCTGACCACCATTGTATGATTCACTAATGGTAGGAATCGAATCCAGGACGAATCGTGGGGAGTAACCATTAGCCACCTGGTGATGATTAATCAAGTATATTCTTAAACCCTGAGTTAATTACTTCACCAAATTGTATCTGCAACACTAGTGATTAGGGAGCCCTCACAATTCATCAATTTGGTTGAGACTATAAGGAATTTTAAATTTGGGAATGTGATATGAGTTGCTTGGAACTTAGTTAACCTGACGGGCACATGAAGCATGTAGAAATCTCACGCTACCACGCCATCATTCTTTTTTTTTTTGGAGCAAAGGTAACATACATTACCAACAACAAACAGTACAAACACTACAATACAGAGGCCCAAAATTTACAACACAGAGGCACATGAACGAAAAATACAATCAACCAACAGAGGCCCAACCAAAAGTTGAGCCCAAAACAAAGAACACACAAAAACAACCAGAGTCACCGCAACCTCCGCCAAAACTGCCGCTGCAACCACCAAAATAGCAGCCGTGCATGTCGATCCAGTCAAATTCAGTCCCCAAACAAAGCCACGCCTCACCAACACCAGCAGCCAATTCCAAGCTTCACACCTAGCACAACTACAAACCCAGAGAACCTGCAGCCAAGTGAAAGAAGCTCATGGTAGTCCACGAGCAACACTGCCAACAAGGGCAGACATCAAAGAGAATGTGGGGGTGCAAGGAACACCCGACCCAGTGCCAGAGTTAGGATTGCCAGAGCCATCTCATCAGCCTTAATGAGGTTAAATATGTCAATTACAAGCGCAACTAAAATCTCCAAACACTTATCTTTATAGGCTTGGTATTAGGCCTCAAGTTGGTAGGTACACCCCCACTCCTAAAAAGGATCAAGAGATTCCAAAACCCTTGACTTGTGGCTGAGACCAATTTTGAGACCAACAACTCTGAGGGCGCGTATAAAAATCCGTAATCAGATTGAAGAGAATTGAATTAAGAAGGAATTGGAATCAGATTCTTATTAAAAATGTTTACTAAAACTTTTTAGAATCGGAGTAAGAATGACATTGATCTATATAAACTGTTTACTAGTTCACATGAATCGGAATATAAACTAATGTAATTACTAAAATACTCTTGTTATATTAAATTATTTTTATATGCCGATTAAAAGAAAGTCAAATGATATAAAATAAAATTAAAAAGCAAACTAACCAATTACCAAACCCCAACCTAATTGTTCCTCTCCTCCTCCGCCTTTCTCATCTTTCAATAGTTTGAAATTGAAGATGGGTTTGTGGCCGATGGGCAGTGGTGGTGGTGGCGGTGGCGGTGTCGAAGGATTAGTTTACAAGGTTGTGATTTCATGTTGGTTTGGTGTGGGGGCTTGGTTTTTGACATTTTGTTCATAAAATACCTACTAAAATTGCAGCAAGGTTCTTCTTGGTTTGTGGTTTGATCTACTTTTGTAATTTAATTGTTGTGGAAGATGATGGTGGCTAGGGTCGGTGGCGGGGTCTATGTCCTGGGAAAGGCAAGGGATGTGTGACGGTGGTGAGGGAGAAGGAGAGGGATAACACTGGGGACGAGAGCTTAGGTTTCTTTGGAATTTCAACTTTTATGCGAGGGCACAATGGGTAAGAAAAATGGATTCCTCACCCCCTCAATCCTTCGGAATCCA